AACGTTAAAACTGAGCAGTTGAGCTCTGAAAAGCCTACATTAGTGGGGGCATGTGTGCAGGCGGTGTGAGTGCGTTTGTCGTCTTTTTTCAGCAACAATTCACGCGCTCGACTGCCGTCCGTGTTGTCTGCGAAGAGCACGGAATGGAGTGGCGTCATTGGACACCAAAAACACAAGTGCAGTGTCGAAAAATCAGATTTTAAGCAAACGTTTGCGCTATGAAATACTGTCCACGTTACAAACAATTTCAAACACATGCAAAATAGTTAAAAATGTGAATATCCAACCACTTTTTCTGCTCCTTTTGCCTGGGTTTTGAGATGAAAAAGCGGCAATTTTCCTTCATACTTTTGATTTGATAAAATGCTTTTTTGCCTGATTTAGTAGGCTGCCATTGTTTGTTGTTAAATTTCTTTTACAAAAAATCGCCTGCTTCAAAAAAATGAACGTCTTGTTTAAACATTTGTCCTCCATCAAAAAACAATTTTTTTGAAAATTTTCTGATAATTTTTAGGATAATTTGGAATTAGTATTCCAAATTATTTGTTTAAAGGGAAGCAGTGACGAGGCGGCTAGCTTAAAAAAGTGGAAACCGATCGATCATTGCTGATGTCGAAAATCGATATAGCCACGAAATTCGCTCAAAATTGTGCACATGGTTTATCTCTGTTTTTGGTGCGCTGTTTTCCTTTTTCAATGCCGTCGTGTGTGGACATTTTCTGCGTTGACTGAACACGACACAAACATGTCACGCTTACCGCGGCGAGAGCTGCTCCAGTCTGACACTTCACTACTCTTTTGGCAGATTCGTCCATTTTATTGCCAACAATCGCGACAACTGTACTGCTTGGGGCGTGAGTCGCCAAATCGTGCAACCAGGACTGTAGAAAAATGAAAATGAGTCAGTCTTTGCAATAAGTTGGAAAAATTTCACAGCAGAAGGACCAGCACATGCTAAAAAGGTAGCAACTGGCTGCCAATTTCATCGGACAACCGCAAACTCGAAGTCGACTTAAAGCACGGGTTGAATTTCACAAAAAACTCCAGATATTCAAAAGCTGTACTAATACACCCCTTTGATGGGCTGAATTAGTCCCACTCTTCTAGCATCCTGATTGGCTGTTATGTCAGAGGTTTCTACAACTGGTGATGCTGACTTTGTCAGTTAGCTAAAACGGTACCTCAGCACAAATTACAAGTATTTTGTACACTCAACACTACTTGTTAATGGATCTTTCTGTGCCTTGTGTTCATTTAACCGATCGTATTTTTATCAACAAAAATACGGCATGCTCTCTGCTACCAATCGACAACAAGGCTGGAACACAACATCGAACACACGCACACACAAATAACCTTGATGTTGATAAATGACTCCAGTTTTGTGACGTCGTATACCAGCATTACAGCTGAAGACCGAAAAGAAGGAAACCGTGTGAACACCTCTCGCATTAAGAATTTAGATGGTAAAACTAAAAGTACGAAAATAGTGGCGACAAACTGAGATTTCATTGGCTAACGCATTAGCTCAAATTGGCAGCATAGTGTGATGTATCAAGTGCATATTTTAGCATTGTTTGATTGTCTAACGGGGTGCAAACCGATCTCAACCAATCAAATCAAATGTGGACAGCTTAGGGAGAAATTTGAGCATTAAATTTCTGACCCTGCATCAAATTCCTCAAGTCATACACGCTTCAGTAGGTCGGCCAAGGTCAGCTCAAGGTCGAATCATTTTTCCGATATGCAGGTATGTACGCGAAATTCGGAAACGGGTTTACACAACGTGGAACGCAACCTTGTCACACAAGACAGGCTTTAGTCCAGCTGTTTAACAAACAAGCGTGCATGTCTCATCGTGTTCCTCATTACGGTAGCCCCGTCATTGCGACCACGGCAACCACCAGATGCGTTCGTTTCTCGCGTCAAGGAGTCTGGCCGTTAAGGGGAATTTTCCATTGAAAACGCAGCAAACCACTGACGTTATTACTTAAATCTCATAGTTAATGTGTCAAAAATCGAAATCTTATTGGTGTACCTCACTCAGAACTCATAAATCCCACCTCCGATGTGCGTGTCTGTCTTCAATGAAACCCATTAAGGCGGCCTTCAGGCGCAACTCTGATGATTGGCACGGTTTGTGGATGCTATTTGCAGTTATCTTGACAATTTTTCCCCAAAAAATCTCCGACAATCATTAATCTTTACAGCATGGTGCCGTGACGTATCTGATTTGCAGTGCCGGTTGAAAAACCTGTGATCTATCGTTAAAAGATGATGCCTTTACGATAAACTGAGTTGAGTACAGTTAGCACAACACGCCCCCACAGTTCTAGTTTGGCCAAGCGAAAGACGTTCGTGGGAATGGATACCTCTGAACAGTTCCACCAGACATGTTACACTAATTTTGAGTCAGAATCAGATCCTGTTCCTTCCCCTTCACGATTTACTGCCTCGTTTCATCAGGTAGCTGCGTTCTGTCAAAACACGCCAACAGCGCTTTCAATGCCAGTTGTCCTAAGATCAGGCGCAAGATCTAAACAAACGTCTCGAATGCTCTTCGGCGGAGTTCCAGCACGCACTCCCTTTGTAAACTCAACTTGTTTTAAGCTAATGTTGACTTGCAACGCATTTGGACAGCTGTCAGATAATAATATGTCCATTAAGGGAGCATCAGTATGGGCAAAAGTGCACGCATTTACCACCTGTGAAGAAATCTATCTCAAAATTTTAAAATCACTCTACAACTATGCAAACTTGCAAGGGACTTGCCATCTGCGTCGCGATAATAAGATTTCGTGAGACTCCGAAATCGCTCCTGCCCCGCCGTGTCCCACAGCTGCAGTTTCACCAGCTTCCCGTCGCAATTGACCAGTTTTGTCTACGGCAAAAGTTAAAATTAGACACAAGTGTGTACTTACCTTGTAGTCGATTCCCACGGTGGATATGTAGCTGCCCTTAAGGAAGGCTTTATCCTTAAATCGAATTAGCAGAGACGTCTTGCCGACGAATGCATCGCCCAGCAGCAGAATCTACAGACCAAAATTGGACATTCTTTTCACATTGCTCAACTTCCAGACCTCGAGATCATTATCGATTTTTTTTTTCAAAAAACCGCGTGAATTATGTTCTCTTTTAAAACAAAGTAAAGTGCACTCTTTTGCAAATCGCCGTGGCTTGCACCAACTCCCAAGGAAGAAAATACAAATTTGGAATTTATATCAGTCAATAGGCGTGCTTTTGGCACAGCCAGAGCTGGGGAAGATTCGAGCAATTTGCCGCTCGTAGTGTCACAAGTCAGCTGGGCTTAAATCATTCGACGTTTATTAGTGTCACGAAGCCATGCCGAGAACAAAAACGCGAAAGCCAGTGCTTGCCTCGATTTAGTTGCCTAAAAAAAAGAATCTGAGTGTCTCAAATGGGCCTAACTCAGACTCCCCTCAAGACTGCCTGCAACGGTTTAGCGTGTAATAGAGCAAATTTATGACGCCAAAGCAGGTAAGTGCTTAATTTTGACAGGGGAAGAGGCCTAACACCAGCCGGCTGCACCGCTTGATTTAAAATTAGAATTAGGTCGCTCATCAAGTTTACATGGCTGGAAAATTTACCCCCTTGCTGCAATTGCCAAATTATTTTTGCAACCATGTTTCAAGGCAATTACGGTTTGACAAGCAATAAGTTTACAGCATCGACCAAAGGGACGTTAGCAAACTTAGAGGGCATGCCTTAGCAGCTTTCAAGGCTTTAAGGAAGCAAAAGTTGAACTGGTGTAAACAAAATCCGCTTTTTTTCACTCCGCTTTAAAAGCGGGGAACGAAGTAACGAGTATCAAGATTGACAAAATTGCAACCTTGACACTATCAACTTGTAAAAAATCGCGATTACTTTCACATAAATCTACTTTGAAATTTTGCAATTTTATTGCTCTGGTCCAGGCGTATATCTGGAAAATAAATTGGCCGGGTTTTTGAGGTGTCATGGCCACGAAATGTCACTTTCAACTACTCCAAGTCGAGAAGAAGGTCAGTGAATCCTCAGTGGGGGATTTAACACTAGTTGGAAGACTTAACACGACTATTATTCTCCAAACACCCCACTTTAAAGGAGGCTAATAGACGCAAGACCTTGGAGTAGCTCAAATGGGTCAATGTTTCCTCGAATTTTTACAAGCTACATTTAATGAAGATCTTCTCTGTTCGTCCAAATCACCTGCTGAACCAGAGATTTAAAACATCAGCGCTCCACGACAAACTACTTAAATCAGCAAATTTCTGCAATTCGAGAGCAAAAATTGCGTAGCTTTTTCGATTTCCGACATGGGCAAAAATCGATCAAATATATTTACTTCAAATATGAAGGTTACTTGGAAGTTCGGCGATGTAAATTTCAAACAAAATCCGGGTAATTGCGTTTTACTCGCCTTTTGAAAAGATAAGATATTTCTCGTTCTACGCAATAACAATGGACAATGGAAGCATAAGCTTCATAAAAAACGAATTCAGAACCATCCGCCTCATCCGTGCTGCGCGTTTAAACAAAAAAAATTAGGACATTTACTTCTATTTTGCTTCCAATTTATAGTTGAGTTTGTAAGACAATACCGAAACCTGCGTTTTCTCCAGAGAGACAAATGTTGATTTATAGCGATGGGGCTATTTAGAATTGCACAGGACTTCTTAGTAGGCTATATTTGCATAAAATAGTAATTAATCAAAACAACGAAATTAAAATAAATATACTTATTGAACTAATTTTATGTTTAGATAGAGAAAGCAATACTTTAGGCGGTACATGGCATTTCTCCGCACAAACGTTTGCTTATAATCTGCATTTTGACACTGCACTTGTGTTTTTGGTGTCCAATGACGCCGCCCCATCCGCGCTCTTCGCAGACAACACGGACGGCAGTCGAGCACGTGAATTGTTGCTGATAAAAGACGACAAACGCACTCACACCGCCTGCACACATGCCCCCACTAATGTAGGCTTTTCCGAGCTCAACTGCTCAGTTTTAACGTCGGGGCAATTGAAAGGAGCGACCTTAAACGACCCGCGAAGCAATTAATGTCAGTTTCTCAGCAAACGCACTGCTCAGGTGGAGAAAGTCGTCGATTTGACAGAAGCGTTCTCACCACCAAATGCCTTTCCCAAGTTCATGCAAATTTATTCCATCTGGTTGGATTGTGCAATGCGACTAGGTCATCGTCACCGTC